TCCAGAGAAAAAACTGATGAAGTTTGAATGTGGATTGAAGCACACTTTTTTAAACTTTCTTTATTTTTCTTGGTTTTTTTGTCAGTATTTTCCTTCACAACATGACTAATATGGAAATATGTTTTGCATGATTGCACATGTATAATTTATATCAAATTACTTGCCTTCTCAACGAAAAAGGAAGTAAGGGAGGGAAGAAGAGAATTTAGAACTTGAAATTTAAAATGTTTTTATATATTATTTGAAAAAATAAAATATAAAAATTTTCAAGTAAAAAATAAATAAATTATATTTTTTTAAAAAGAGAGGAAAAATAAAACATTGAATCCAAATACAACAAAGCATGAAGTGGGTCAGTTGAGAAGAAATTTGCCATTTTATTAATTGATCATATATCAGATAGATTTCCTCTCTTTTTACCTTCTGTTTATAAAAGCTAAGTTAGAAGTAAAAAGACAAATAATTACAAGAAAACAGGATGCACTGAAGTGCACATAAGTTAGAGCCCTGAACATGAATTAGATGAACTTACCCATAAAAGAAAAGGAGACAGTATGCCAAGTGTAGGCAACATCCTGTGCAAAGACAAAGAGGCAGGAAATTAAATGTGTACAAATAACAGTATCTTGGCCAGTTTTTCTAGAACATAAAGTGATTGAAGAGGAGTAATTTGTAATCATCCTTGAAAGATCATATCTGCATTGAAAAAGTTTTTAAATGCTCAGTGGAATAGTTTAGATTTTCTCCTAGAGGCAAGAGGGAGCCATTCAAGCCTTTTGGGCAAGATGGTGACATGATCTGACTGTGTGGAGAACAGATTGGAAAGAAAGTTTGAAACAGGAAGGAAGATTATTTAGGAGGTTGTCATATAATAAAAGCTAGAGGTGATAAGGGCCTGAATTAGAGTAATTGTGTTATGAGTACAGAGGAGTACCCATATGATAAAGGAAGAATAAAGGCTTAGCAATTGATTTGACAGGTAAGCAAAAGTTAAGGATGTCTTATAGGCTATGAACGTAGGTAATTAGAAGGAAGGTGATACCTTTGACAGAAATAGGAGATTTAGGAGGGGGAATAGATTTCAGAAGAAAACATGAATTCTGTTTTTGAACACATTGAGTTTGAGATGCCTCTGGCACATCTGAGTGGAATTGTTCAGCAGGCAGTGGGACAGAGATGAGGGGTATACATGTGGATTTGAGAGTCATCTGCATAGAGTTGACATCTGAATCTGTGAGGGCTGGTGACAGTAACAAGTAACAAATAAAATATAATTATTATTATGATTATACATATATATAAAAAGAGATAATATATGTAAAATTTCAAACCTTAAAGCATTATATATAAATGCCCACAATTTTTATCATTGGTTAGAGGAGGATGAGGAGGATTATGTTGAAGGCATCACCATTTTTTCAGTCACCTAGGCTCATACTCTCAAAGTCATTATTGACTATCCTCTATCTCACCTTGCACATCTAATTAACACCATCTATCCAATTAGTTGTTAATCCCTATTGATTCCACCACTGCAATATCTCTTGCATTCATGCCCCTCTCTACATTCTTAATAAACCCAATCTAGTTCAGACCCTCATCTCTCACAGTGTCACACTCTCAGAGTTACAAGGGACATCAAAGACCATGGAGTACAACCCAAAGAAGCAGGGTGGTAAGAGAAGAGTACTATATTTAGTGTTAGAAGACTAGAATTCAATGCCTTGCTTTGCTATTTATTATGTCTATGACCTGGGGAAAGTCACTTAGCCACTCTGGGCCTCAGTTTCAACATCTATAAAACAAGAAACTTGGACTAGATGTTCTCTAAGTTTCAATACAGCTCTAGATTTGTCTTTCTACAATCCATAAGCACACCTGATTAGGAAACCATTGACAGTAACTCAACATTCATTGTCTCTTCATTACTTAAGTAATGATAAACTATTAATTCTTCTCTTCTAGTCCCTTCGCAATGTGGCCCCATCCAACTTTTCCAGACTTACCCCTTACTTTTCTTTTTCATATACATTATTTTCAATCCAAGTTAGGCGTTCTTACTTTCCTGTTTTTTGCTTGCCTTTTCCCCTTTACTTTGGCTTTCATCCTTCCCAGTAGCAAGAATTTTCTTCCCCCATTTCCAGAAGTTGAAATTATACCTTTCCTTTATGCCCAAAATCTGATGCTGCCTCTCTCATAAAGTCTTCCATTAACTCTCCCATTGAAAATGATACTTTCCTGCCCAAATGACTTATAGTACTTTATCTCAGCCTCTTTTTTTTTTGCAATTATCTCTCATGATCTCTTTTTGGTAGTTATTTATATATCCTCCTCACAACATCTTAGGGCCCATTAGATTTTAAGCTACCTATGAGCAAGGCCTGCTATGGATGTATCTTTGTTGCATCAGTGTACAAAGAATATATTATACACTTGTTGTTGTGGAGCCATTTCAATTGTGTCCAACTCTTCATGGCCCCATTTGTTTATTTTTTTAGGGGGTGGGTAAAAATATTGGAGTGGTTTGCCATTTCTTCCTCCAGATCATTTTACAGATGAAGGAAACTGAGGCAAACAGAGTTAAGTGACTTGCCCAGCTAGAAAATGTTTAATGTCAGATATGAATTAAGGTCCCCTGACTCTAGGTCAGATGCTCTATCCACTGCCCCAATGCACACAGTAGTTACTTAATAAATACTTTTTTAAAAACAATTTGGCATAATAGAAAGAGAACTACTGAATGTACATATTCACTTGTCCTGGGTATTCATGATCTGAGAGATAAGTGATGCAATAGAAGAATAAAATAATTAAACTCTCATACAGTTATAAGCAATAAAGACTTATGTAACATAAATATGTGATTTAAAGTCACTAGCCAAATGTATTTTAGATGAGGAAAAATTAAAGTAAATGAATAACCAGAAAAGACTCAAGGGGAAAAGATCTATAAGAATTCCAAATTCACATAGTGTTAAGCAGGGGAAAACACTTGTCAAGGGAGTCTTCCATGATACCTTTTGAAAGAAAATCATTGATTAAAAAAAAATCAAATCACAAAAAGACCCAGTGTTCTTGATTGGCTTTTAAAAATCTCAATTGCATTAATGGGTCTACCCTTCAAATTATGGGTCACTATCTACATAGCCTCTCTAGAACCTCCCAGAGTGAGACTACTTAAATTTTTACCTCAAAAAAAAAAAAACCACTGGGAAATAAATGAAAAGTTTAGAACCCCAAAGTAGTGAAACAATAGCATAAATACAGACTTCTCAAAATAAGAGAGGGGATGTGATAATCATTGCAACAAGCATATATTTTCTGGCCAGTGTATTAAAAACACTTAAGTATAGCTAGATAAATTTACCCTTCATAAAATACAACTATGGTCTTTATCTAGCAAGATATCATGTGAAATACTACAGCCATTAATGTTCTCTTTTTTTTTTCAGGAAGATGATCTAAAAAGTATAACTTACACATTTTCAATTTAGTTTTTACCACAAAAAACTAAATCCTAAGGAACAACTTTAGGTATTCCAGTAAGAATATTCTTTATTCAGTGTCTTAAAAACAATAATCAACACCATACATATCAACAACTGAAATAAAACTGTAACAATATCAAACAACATACATACAGGTGAAAATGATCAGAAAGGAAAACAGAAGTAAATAAAATGACCTTCCTAAATTTGATTAAAGGTATTTATACACATTCTTCCCTCTAAAAATTTTGTACATAGGTTAAAGATTATATTTCATAAATGATTTTATTTTATAAACAAATACATTTTTGAGAATTTATTATATTAATGCTTAAGTTTTAAAATTAAAGTTGTATAATTTTAAATTAAAATCATTAAAATAATTGTATATATTTGACTCCTTTTTTTAAAAAATCTGCTTACTGAGCACTCTATTCAAAGTCAATGAATCACCACTATAGTAAAGGGAAGGAAAGAAAAAAAGCCAGAAGAGTTTGCCTGGCTGTTTTCTTAGTATTTCACATTTTTATTTATGTTACTTCTGTTATCATAGATAATACAAAAATATCAAGTACTTTGATTTCCTAACAGGTATCTAATTATCCCAGAAGTAATGATATTATGTCACTGATAACTTGAAACTGTCAGAAACAAAAATGATTCTAGTACCTTTAGTGTCAAAGCATTTCATTACTATATTCCATGCCAGAAAAGATGAGCTGGCCCAAATCAATATGCTGTAAGCCATGCAGAAGTGAGGGTTGATAAACATGAAATATCATTCCTAAATACAAAAGGAGCCTTTACATCAGTAATTTATGACTCTCTCAAAATGTTGTGCCTTTCAAAATGATTTAAGTATGCTATTCATTTCAACTCAAATAACATCATATTGGAGAAATTCTATCAACAACATATAACATTAAATTACTTATACTTATAAATGACTCATGGATAATGTTTAAAATTATTTTATGTTGTCCAAAAATAGAACCTGTATTTTATTATATAATAATTCTCAGAGGGGGATGGGACTGAAGAAGTCTTATCAATTCACATGTTAATTTTCAAAATTATTGAGAGATAGGCATTCAGTATTATCAGCTTAAAATTAAAGATACCACACAAAATGACAATCACAGTCTTCAGTAAACATGACACAAGGAAATACAGAGAGTTGAAAGGGCAGATGGAGAAAGGATACAAGAAGAAATTATAGGTGTCACAATTTTTACCTCTCCCTTCCCTGCAGCTATGAAGTACTTTTAAGATGCCATTAATAAATAATACTATCACTACTAATAAAGGTATCATTAATAACATTCTATCTGCCATCACTTATGAAAACTATTAATGTAAACAGTATAAGCACTTTTAGGAATTCAGGTGAGACATAATTCTTCCATGAATTGAAAGGAAAAAAAAAAGACACAAAGCTTTGAACAATTGAGAAGTCGCTAGAGAAGATAATTTTTCTTACATTAGGAAACTTTATCTAAAAAGTAATCTTACCATCATTTACTGATTCCTGCTTCTGATCATCTTCCACAAGTGGTTTTTTGGGAATCACCACTAATTCTCGTTGTTCTGGTGATTCAAAAACTACACTAGTTAGAAGTACGTGTATTGTCTCTTCCACTCGATTCCTGGCTTGACTGCTTATACTAGCTAGAAACAACAAGGATGCATTCTGTTATTTTGATTCATGATTATTCTCTGATGATATGGAATCCTTATAAAATGAAAGGGGGAAAAAAAACTCTTTTCCTTTTTCCAACTAGTTATTACCTTTAGTGAAAAGGCATATAAATTTATGTCATATTCAAACATAAAAACTACAGCAAAGGAAGAAAGGTTCCAGAATTCAGGGAGAGAAATTTCTCAAGATAATAAATAGAAAATGAAACTCTAGGATATAAAGAATAGTCTGTGAAATAAATCATAGGGATTGAAGTTGGGATGACTATTCAAAGTTTGTTTCAACACTAGGTTATTGAGTAAGAGTAAATGACTTCTTTTTCAAATTTTTATAAATTCTTGTATATGTAGTCATACTAATAATCTCTTTATAATTATACAGCAATGCTGGGAAAAATAAAGTGAAAGTAGGGCCTGGGCACCTTTAATGAATACTTGGAAGAAAAAAGAATTTTCTCCACAGTAGAATTTGTTGAAAATAGATCAAGTAACATCATTGATATCAAGAGTTTTACATTAGATACTTCTCTAATCAGCTTATTTCTTCAACTACTAATTTGGCCAGTCCAAATTTTTCATTTAAAATATTTTAAACTTGTTCTATTTTAATGATTATATTAAAAATTTGTTTTAAATATTGTAAGAACTAAAAAAATTGTGAGAATTAGGTAAAATGTAATCTGAAAACATACATTTATATTTACCCAATAAATGATTCTTATTTAAATATGGAATATCAAACTACTAAATCTGTATCTTTAGATAAAAAACATTTAATACTTTTAATTGTTATGTAATGATCCCATACTGAAAAATCAAAACATGATTTTAGGGTACAGGAATGAGTGGAAGCCAGTAGCACCATTTTAGAACATTTTTTTTTTTTTGCTTTTGACTCCTCTTTCTTCTGGAACCAAGTCTATGGGAGTCTATATGAATGGGAATCATTGCAATTTTTACAGACATTTCAATGTTATGCTTATAACTACTTTGATGTACATAGAAATATCTTTTTCATCACCTAGCATAACACATTGTACTTAGTATATTTGAATTAATGAATAGATGGATAAATGGGTGGATTGGAAACTATTTCTTCCAGATTTTACATTTTATGCTTTTATGAGCATAAAGCAGTATTCATCATTGACATTACTGAAAAAGTAATCTTCTGAATGCATATATATGATCAATCAATCAATAACTCAACAAACATTTTAAAGCACTTACCACATGCTAGTCATTGTGCTAGAGGATATAAAGATAAAAAGAAACAGTCTTTGTTCTCACAGAGCTTGTATTTTATTAGAGGGAACAACATTACACACAATTATGTAAAAAAAATGTGCTAAATAAATAGAAGCTAATTGGAGGTGGGGAATCACTAGCTGAATAACAAAAAAGTCTGTATGTAAGAAACAATGCTTGAACTGAGCTTTGAAAATAGTGATTCCAGGAGGCAGAAGGGTTGAGGAAGAGTAATGATGCATAATGATTTTGGAAACATAGGTTGGAGCCAAATTGGGAAGGGCTTTAAATGCCTAACAAAGGAGTTTGTTTCTGATCCTAGACGTAATAGGGAGCTACTGGAGTTTACTGATCAGGGGAGTCACATGGTCAGGTCTGGCCTTTAGATGATATGTGTAGAAGTTTGGGGGTAGAACGACTAAACACAGCAACTGCTGAATGTATGGATTGAAAAAAGTGAAGAATCAAGTATGATTCCAAGATTTTGAACAACGGTGACTAGGATGGGCATGTTCTCTACAGAAAGAGGTAACAATCACCTCCACCACCACCAAAACTACAACAGCTAGCATTGTTATAGTGCTTTAGAGTTTGCAAAGCATTTTATAAATGTTATTTCATTTTAATCCTCAGGATCATGTCACTCTCTTAATGAAAAAAAAATTTTAAATGTTCTTCATTGGCATCTATCTCATTGTCTACCAAATAAAATGCAAAATGCAAACTCCTTAGGATAGCATCCAGAGCCCTCATGATCTGGCTCCAACCTAAATTTCTATCCACGTTCCATAGCATTCTCCTTATCATATGCAATGGTTTTGCAGTATGCATCACTGTTTATACTTGCACTGCCTTCATCTATTGCCTCCATCCCTTTATATACACTGTGCTTATTCCTGGAGTGGATTACTCACTGACTTATACCATTTTCTCTTCCACCTACTAAATCCTCTTTCTCTTTCCAAAAAACAGTTCAGATACCATCTTTTCTATATTGGTTTCTCAATCCTCTCAGATCAAAGTGATCACTAACCCCTTCTTGAATCATTCAGGTCACTCTTTTTAACTACTATTATGCACATAATCATTTTCCAAACTGCATTAACAGTTATTTGTGGTTATATCACATTGCTATAAAGGTATAAAAATTCTTTGGGACATTGGACTGTGTCATGTTTTTAAACTTTTTATTTCTAGTGCTTAGTATTGAACCCGGCACACAAAAGTTACTTAATAGATGTTTACTGAATTAAAATTTAAAATGATAACTAATGATTTGGTGCATATTATTGGGAAAGTAAAAATGGCTAGGGAACAAGAAAGTTTTCTAGCTATGATTAATTTCACTGCCTTAAGTCATTAAAATGGAAATGAGTGCAATGAAAGTTATAATTAGTATTATGCCACTGGTCTTGTCTTCTAAATTCTTAGGAAGTCTGAGCACTAAAAATATAGACAATTTATTTCCAATGTGTGCATGTTTCCATTACATTATTCATCTTCAAGTGAGTAGTTACTTCAAGTAACTATACCAGCTATATTTGCCAACAGAGAATCAAGAATCAAAATATTGAAAAGATCAAGTAATCAGAGTTGGAAGAGAACTCATTGATCAGCCAATTCAATGCATATCCAGAAAATAATCCTCATTACAACGTACTGACATATGGTCATTGACCCTCTGCTTAAGGTCCTCCGAGGATGGAGAAGCCACTACACAGGGAGTCACAGAGCCTTGAAACAGTTTTAATTGTTAAGAATGTTTTCCTCATGTCAAGTATAAATTTTCTTCTACCCATTGTTCTTGCTTTTGACTTCTGAATTTTAAAAGAAAAAAGGGAGCTATGCTTCTTAAAGACCTCAATGGATATATAATCTCATTGTATTCTCTCCATAAGTTTAATCAATGAATTAACACGTATTTACTAAATGTCAATCATGTATTAAATACTCTACTGACTGCTAGAGATATAGAGACCAAAAAAATGGTTCTGGCCTTCAAGGAGTTTATACTATATCAGAAGGACATAACCTGAGTAAATACAAAACATACACAAAGTAATTACAAAGTAATCTGATGGATGAAATGCTACCAGATGAGGGAATAAAGACAGACATAATGCTTGAGGTGTATTTGACATGAACTTTCAAAGATTTTAGGGATTTAAGAAGGAGGAGTCCCTGGGGCAGCTAGGTGGTGCAATGGATAGAGCACCGGCCCTGAAGTCAGGAGGACCTGAGTTCAAATCCGGCCTCAGATCAAACACTTGTCACTAACTAACTTGCTGTGTGACCCTGGGCAAGTCACTTAACCCCAATTGCCCAAAAAAAGAAGGAGTCCCTTTAAAAAGGAGTGGAGACAGGAAATAATAAAATGCTGTGTACAGGGACAAGCAAGAAGGTCAATACAAAGAGACCCCAGAGTGCATGAAAGGAAGTAACATGTAATAAATCTGGAAAGGTAGGCTGAAGCCAAATTGAGAAAGGACTTTAAATGCTAAAACGGGAAGTTTTTATTTTATCCTAGAGGCAATAAAAGGCAATAATGGAGTTTATTGAACAGAGAAGTAACATGTTCACATCTGTTACTTTGGCAGCTATATTAAAGCCACAGTAGAAATGGGAAGGACTTAGGGAAAGAGTCTTAATTATTAGGTAATTTTAAGTGTTCAAGTGATAGGTGTAGAAGGCCTGAAAAAAAGGTGGCTGTAGCATGGAAAAATAGTACAGATTTAATAGATACTGTGGAAATGACATCTAAAATACTTGGCAACTGATTAGATATAAAACTCATTATGCTATACATACATTTTTGTATGTATGTATGAAGTGTTGCTCAGTCCTGAGAAGATACCCTCCACTTATGCACTGGCATAATGACAGTAGCAAAATGGTGGATAGGGAAGCACAGAGTGCTAAAAAATCACCTCTAGGATCAGATATAAAATCATTTTTGGCATCCAAATTCCCTTAAAACCTGCCCTTTTCATTCTTCTCACAACTCTTTCTCAGGTACTCTGCAATCCAATGTAACTGGATTCCTGGCTATTTTTTGAACAAGACATTCTATCTCCACACTCTGTGTATTTTCTCTGGTTCTTCCCCATGCCTAGAATATTTTTACTACTTATTTGTGCCTCCTGGCTTCCCTCACTTCCTTCAAGTCCCAGCTAAAATTTCACCTTCAGAAACATTTCCTGATCCCCCTGAATTCTGGTGCCTTCCATCTGTTGATTATTTCCAGTTTATAGTGTATATGGTTTGTTTGTATATAATTGTTTGTATCTTGTCTCCCCCAGTTGACTGTGAGCCCCTTAAGTACAAGAACTGTTTTTATATTTCCTTGTACTCCAACCATTTAGCCCAGTGCCTCGAACAAAGGAGTTTAATAAATGAATATTGTCTATCTGACTAACTAATGAAATCACAGGTCTTTTAATGTACTAATGTGTTGAAATAAATAGATGGCACCAGGGTTGTGTTTATTTACTACAAAGAAGACTAATTTTATTCCCTGACTTTCCCAATTCAATTTAATAATTTAATGCAATGCACTACAACAAAAATCCCAAGACAGAGAGAAGTAAGAGGAGGAGGAGAAGGGGAAAAAGAAGGAGGAAGAGAAGAAGATGCCAATTTAGCAAAATTAATATGTCAACTATAATTGTGTGTGATATTATAAATAAATTTATACACTTAGAGTGTCCCACCTCTTCCACGAGGTGAATTTCCTTCACATTTCTATCATAGGCTACCCACAGCAAAGCAAATAAAAGTTAAATGACAGTAGCAACCTCCATTTTATGCACACTAACTTTACTTTGCAAAAGACATAAAAATAATCTGTATTTTAATGCATCATTAGACTGTTTTAGTTTAATCAATTCTTCATGAATTCTTTCACCTAGAAAAACAAAAGTCTATATTTACAGGAGACATGAACAACAAAGCTGTCAGAAGACAGGGAAAACTGTTTATGTTTTACTACATCATTTTAATCTGATGACCATAGATTGTAAATTCTAAACTGATGTTCATCTCTATAGAGAATAAGGAGTCAATTATCTTTTACCAAGGGAAAAAAAGGAAAAATTCTAACTCATTTTGAAAGACTACTGATGGTAATTTAGTGCCTTTGTGCTTGAAAGATTTGCATTAACCATAAAAAATATTCTCCAGCCTAGTATTAAAAAGTACTGCAAGTAAATCAAATGGCATAGTTACTTGTCAAATGAATTTCTAATCAGATACAATTTTAATTAAAGTTATCTCACACAGAGAAAGTGACTGATATCATGTTTCCAAGTAGAATCTTCAGCATTTTCTTCCTCAGAGTGATGATAAAAAGAGACAGTGTGATGTAGTCGAAAGAACTGAATGAGATCTCAGGAAAGCCAGATTTCAGTTTTAGCACTGGAAAATTAGCACTGTCATTTCAGGATCACTTTGCTACTTCCCTTATTTGAGTCTCAATTTACTCATATGAGATTTATAAAGGGTTGGACCCAAACTCTAAGTCTTATGCTAGGCCTGGAATTCTTTGATCATATAACGTACATACCTTGGTGTGTTTTGGGAAGTGGTGCTTCTGGGATTCCTTGTATGGGGTACTTCCAACATATACTGCAGATGTCTCCATTTTCTGTTCTTGTTGTGCTATTTAGACAAGCAAATTTTAAAAGTTAAAATGCTAGAAAATGAAGATGTCTGCTACTGTCAGCCAACTTTCTAATTTTTTTAACTCAATGGCATTTTAATTTTTAAAAAGAATATTTCTTTTTAGAAATAGAGAAATGCAAATTTGGCATTGACTTTTTGGGAAATGTTTACTTTTGCAAAATATTAAAAAGTGAAACTTAGTGAAGCAAGGTAAATTACTATGGAAATACTCTGCATAGTAGTTGTGATCAGACTTCAGCATATTAGCAGCCATAACCTAGTGGATCTTAGGATTGAGGCTGCAGTGGGATAACAGGAACAAAAGATGATAATTAAGAATGGCTCCCAGTGATATAGTAAGAATAGGAAACTATTATTTACCAAGTGGTACCTCTGAGGTTAATGTTCTATGAACTACTGTGCAAAGGGCTTTAAGCAATTAAACAAAAGTATTGGGGGGCAGATAGGTGGCACAGTGGATAAACCACTGGCCCTGGCTTCAGGAGGACCTGAGTTCAAATCCAGCCTCAGACACATAACACTTACTAGCTGTGTGGGCCTGGGCAAGTGACTTAACAACACTGCCTAACCAAAAAAAAAAAAAAATATTGGACAGTTGAAAGCTCATCTTTTGTAGCCTCATTGGAAGACCTTTAGGAGGGCTACTATTATTATGAATATCATTTCTGCATGTTTTCTATGTAATTCAGATAAAAATTGTCCTGGGACAAATGGCTATCTTGATATGATTTTATATTTCATTCCACAGACTGTTTTAAAAGTGGATAAAATAACTGTTGTTTATAATTGAATAAAAGTATTCAGATAGGACTGTCTTGAGTTCTCTCCCAAAGCCCTCCAAATACCTAAAAAAATGGCTCTAAACAAATTCTAAAGCAGCAGAATCCACAAAAAGACAGAGTGAAACAAATTTCCAGCCAAAGACAGCCTGGATGGTTGATCTGAAAGGTGTATCGCCCTGGGCTGGGAGAGGAGCTCAGTTTGGCGTGGGCATGCAGGCCGCAGCAACCCTGGAGCAGGCTCAGAGGACTGAATCACGGGGAGCTATGGCAGTTTCCAGACTTCTCAACCCATGAACGCCAAAGACGACGTAGAAGGTCAGTGGGAAAAGTCAGTGACTGCAGTGAGAGAGGAGCTGGGTCTCAGCCTCAAGTCTCAAGCACAGCCCGGGGCCACGGCTTTTTTCTGAACTTCCAGCCCACATACTGAGGGGGAATCAAGTGGCTGATCAGAGGGGGATTGCAAGGATCTCTTTGCCAGTGCTGAGGTAGGAATCTCTTGCTTTACCGGCGCTTGGATCTGGGTCACAGATCTGAGGGGTGGTCCTGGGGCAAGGAGGAATGCTGGTGCAGTGGAGCTTGTTGTGGTGGTGGAGAGAAAACACCTCGCCCGTTATCATAGTACCTTGGAAGAACTGAAAATTTACAGGTCCCTAGAGGTATATCTGAAAACAGCTGTACAAACCCCCGAAGCTTGGGACAGTACACTCTTCACAATGGAAGCAGACTTTTACCTTAACAAAGAGTTTAAAACTCAAGGAACTGGCCGGGATCATGAGTAAGCAGCGCAAAAAGAGTCAGACTATATTATCTTACTTTGGTGACAAAGAAGATCAAAACATACAACCAGAAGAAGGCAACAAAGCCAAAGCTCCTACATCCAAAGCCTCCAAGAAAAATATGAATCAGTCCCAGGCCTTGGAAGAGCTCAACAGGGATTTTGAGAAACAAGTAAGAGAAGTAGAGGAAAAACTGAGAGTGATGCAAGAAAATCATGAAAAACAACTCAACAGCTTGCTAAAGGAGACCCAAAAAAAAAATACTGAAGAAAATAACACCTTAAAAAATAGCCTAACCAAAATGGCAAAAGAGGTCTAAAGAGCCAATGAGGAGAAGAATGCCCTATAAAGCAAAATTGGCCAAATGGAAAAGGAAGTCCAAAAGTTTACTGAAGAAAATACTTCCTGAAAAATTATAATAGAGCAATTGGAAGCTAGTGACTTTATGAGAAATCAAGACATTGTAAAACAAATCCAAAAGAATGAAAAATTAGAAAACAATGTGAAATATCTCATTTGAAAAACAACTGACCTGGAAAATAGATCTAGGAGAGAGAATTTAAAAATTATTGGACTATCTGAAAGCCATGATCAAAAAAAGATCCCAGACATCATCTTTCAAGAAATTATCCAAGAAACCTGTCCTGACATTTTAGAATCAGAGGGCAAAATAGAAATTGAAAGAATCCACCGATCTCCCCCTGAAAGAGATCCCCAAAGGAAAACTCCTAGGAATATTGTAGCCAAATTCCAGAGTTCCCGGGTCAAGGAGAAAATATTACAAGCAGCCAGAAAGAAACAATTCAAGTATTGTAGAAACACAATCAGGATAACACAAGATTTAGCTGCTTCTACATTAAGGGACCGCAGGGCATGGAATATAACATTCCAGAGAGCAAAGGAGATAGGATTACAACCAAGAACTACCTACCCAACAAAACTGAGTATAATCCTGCAGGGGAAAAAAATGGTCATTCAGTGAAATAGAGGACTTTCAAGCATTCCTGATGAAAAGACCAGAGTTGAATAGAAAATTTGATTTTCAAATACAAGACTCGAGTGGAACACGAAGAGGTAACCAACACGAAGAGGTAAACAGAAAAGAGAAAATCATAAGACACTTATTAAAGTTGAACTGTTTACATTCCTGCATGGAAAGATGATATTTGTAACTCATGAGACCTTTGTCAGTATTAGGGTAGTTGAAGGGGGAAAAATTATATGTACATATATATAGATATAGATAGAGGGCACAGGGTTAGTTGAAAATGAAGGGGTCGTATCTGGAGAATAAAATTAAGGGGTGAGAGAGGAATATACTAGGAGAAGGAGAAAGGGAGAGGTAGAATGAGGTAAATTATCCCACAAAAAAAAAACAGAAAAGAAAAGGCTCTTACAGTGGAGGGGAAATGGGGGAAGGTGAGAGGGAATGAGCGAAATCTGATTCTCATAGGATTTAACTTAAGGAGGGAATAACATACACACTCAATTGGGTGTGGAAATCTGTCTTACCCTACAGGAAAATGGGGGGGGGGAAGGGGACAAAAGAGCAGGGGAATGATAGAGAGGAGGCAGATTGTGAAAGGGAATAATCAGAAGCAAATACTTCTGAGGAGGGACAGGGTCAAAAGAAAGAATACAATAAATGGGTGAGTGGGATAGGATTAAGGGAAATAGAGTAAAACAAAAAAAAATAAAATGAACAATTGCACTGGGAAGATATTAGTGAAAGGAATCATAAAGGGTACTTCTAAAAAAATTGAAATGAGACTAAGGAATGGTTCTAATCTGAATTTTGTCTTCTTCCCACAGAACCTTGCATGGTACTTTGCATGAAATGATTATGTGATTGCTTGTTGAATAGTTTTTACCTAGAAGTATATAGATCACATAGGCCAGCCTCCTAAGAAAGAAAACTGAGGGTAATTTCTGATGAGAGTTTAAAGGACAGAAAACCATTTCAATAGGAGGAAGACAATGAATAGGTTCATATGGATGAAAGTACAAGGTAGCCAAGGTTGGACAGAGAAAGTCACCAGAAGAAGAAATAAAACATTTATTTTTGTTTAAGCTCTTGCATGCCTCTTCTTTCAAAATATTAACAACAGGAAGGAAAAAATACACACACACACACACACACACACACACATTTTAATCAAGCATTTGAGGAAAATATTGTCTTGGAGATAGAACCAGACATTTGGGGAGTTGAGTGGGTGTAAGCAAGCAAGTGCTTCCTTAAGTACCCCCTAGAAGGCATACTCTTCAGCCATTCTATATCTGGATTATACACACATTGTATAACGCCATGTCTTTACATCTGTTCCACTGCTGCCAAATTTCTTGATTTATAGAATCCCATATTATTTCAAGTTGATTCCTAGACATTGGTGTCTTGTTTCACTATGAATTATCACTTTCTTTATAAAATGTTCAACTTGTATTCAACATCATCTTTTGTTACTTTGTATTTGAGTCAGGTTTTTCTGATACAACATTAAAATATATCTCCTTCTACAGACTGGGTTGTGGTTTTGTTTCTGATTTTTTAATACAATAGAATATGATATATAAAGTATACAGGAATAGTATTAGTTGAAAAAAATATTCCTTATTTAAGTTACCTTTCCAGACCTGGGCCCAAGTTATCAGCTTTATCGTAAGGCCAATATTCACCATTTCTCCTCACCACCTCGACAGTCATCATTGCTTCATATAATTTCATAATATAAGGTACAAATAACACAGGGATATCCAACTTTCCTTTTGGAGGTAATGGTATTCCTGTAAAATAAGATTCATTTTTGATATAAAAATGAAAAGAATAAATAGTTTAATGAAATTAAACAATACCCAAATATTTTTGACTTTATGGTGTTATTAATTTTAAATCATAAAGCAAACTATATTAAATAATTGCAATAATAGAAGTTGGTCTCAGTGCACACCCCTCTTTAAAAAATGTATATTGGCCTAAGGTAGCATATTTTATCCAAGAGGAACTAAAGAAATATGAAAGGGGGTACTGGTATATTCCCTGGATATGATCTCCACAGCCCATTAATTTCTCAAGCCTGAGGAAGACTTTAAAAATATGTTTTTTTCTAAGGTAGTAAATCCACAACTGTGATTATTCAGCTTAGTTAAACTCCTTTAGAAGATTTGAGATAGAGACTAAGTTTTAGGGTTGGTTGACTGATTGTTTTTAGTGTCTAATCATTCCTTGTAATTAAGTCATTCTTCTCTTTGGGACCAAAACTATTTCCCATAAAAAAAACTTTCATTTCTTAGGAGATCTTCAAAAGTAGTCAATTCTCACTTTTAAAATATGGGAACAAGTATCTTGTGATATTAAGAAGATAGAATGATGAAGAGCACTCCTGTCTTCTATTACATAATCAGACACTAAGAGTTCAAAATAGTGGAAAGATTTGGATAATAGTGGAAACCTCACTAAAAAAGGAAGTTCCACAGTGCCACAAAGCAGAGGTCTTTTGTTTCATTTTGAGGGGATTAGAGTCAGTTTTTCTCTTCTACATAACAAGTAATTGGTTTTTTTTTCCGTTTACTCTTTGAAAAGAGAAAGGTTTGTATAATTATTTTGCCTTGGAAGAATCTATCAAATTGCAAAAGCATTAAAAGCATCTCTATCACATCCCTCACTCTCTGATTCCACTGTCTTTTCCTTCCAAAGCCAACACTATAGTTAAACAATTAAACACAACCATGTGATGAAACAAACAGAATACTATCCCCTATTCATGAATCTGTCCCACTCTTGGGATATCTGCGCTTATTCCTAGCCTTAAATTGCTCCCCTATCTGATCCTACCTACATTCTGCTAAACAAAACTAAGGGAAGACACATAACTGTTATTAACTGGATATTATAGACACATGTCATCTCACTTCTTTGGGCGCCTTACTACAATGAGGCAATCCATTTTCTCCCATTCTCATTGATTCCCTTTCTCACTCCCTGCAGAAGAGATTCTATTCCTTTCTTTGCTCCTCAAACCTCCCTCACTTCCTTCTCCCCCTTCTGTCAGAAGAGAACCTTGTCTCTTACTCTGCTGAAAAAATTGAGGGCATTTCAATCAAGTTCCCTCTTCTCCCTTTCTCTTCGTCTCAAAATTTACTGACATCAGCCCCTCTTTTACATCAGTCTCTAACAATAAGGTAGCTCTTGTCATCAAGCCTACTTGCCTCAGTGATCCTGCTCAGTTTCTTTTGCTGATTCAGCATCTACTTCATAACCTTTAAAGGTAGCTGTTACCCAAAGCTCTGTCCTCTCTTCTCTCTCTCTCTCTCTCTCTCTCTCTCTCTCTCTCTCTCTCTCTCTCTCTCTCTCTCTCTCTCTCTCT